TTGGATAGTAGGAGGCTGGGTTGGCAGAAGCTAGCAGGCAGCTTCCAAGGCAGATGGAGGTAGAAAGATTTGGTCCCTGTTTGTGCTTTTTTAATGGTGGTGACAGTTGGGTAAGGGTTACATGGTGGAGATCCACATCACCCTAAAATTTCTAATAAGTTGTCGTATAGACACTGAAGTTCATGGAGCCCAAGGGCCATCGCGCTGAGAGCTCCAGGAAAGATCTCCCATCCCACTTTGGCAAAGGGGAGGGGGAGCAGAATGGACCCCAGGGCACCTCGGCAGTGCACACAATGAAGTGAAGACTGAAGCCTCTTCTCTTATTTTCTAAACACCACAAATACCTCATCCCGATTGTGACTTAAAGGAGGTGAAAGGTGAGGTCAAGAGGTCCCCCAAAGCCCAAATTAGGTTAAATTGATCCCCCTTCTAGCAAAGTGAAAGCTGGGAATAAGATTTAATTTAAGTTTTGAAAGTGTTACCACATTTTTATTGTCCAGAGCATTAAAAGAGTACAATTCATATTTAATGCATCCCATGAAAAGTTTTCCTATAAAACATTTTATTTCCAATATCCACATGTTTGACATTCTCCAGAGGACTACCTTTGAGACCTCCAGGTCTTATAAAAATCCTTTGGTCTAATTGAGGCTGATTCTACATTTTGCTGTCTACATTTTGTGGGCTATTTATTTATTTATCAAATGAAAATAACATAGTCCTTTCATTAATGAAAAGCATCCTCAATCAACACCAACTATCTTGATCTCAGTGTTTGAAAAGAACCTGGCACATGGTAGGTGTTCAGTAAATAACTAATGAATGAGCCCTGTGCCACTGTCATTTCTGTTTCTCCTACGATGAAACTGAGCCAACACAGTTAACTGACTTTTACAGATTTTACAGACAATGTCAACGTCAGAATTAAATTGCAGATCTGATTCAAATGTCTTTTTCTTGGCATGAGACCACTATGTCTCAAACGCTGGGCTAGAATCCACCGGTGGGTCTCAAAGTCAATATAATTGGTCAGGATTGGCATTTTTAAAATGAAATAGAAGAGAAAAAATGACAGAATGGCAGGCATAGCTCAGCGTAGAGTAATGTAGGCTAGAAGACAGCACAAAGCAAAACAAAATAAAAGAAAATCTAGTGTGTTTGCATAATACCGGCTAACTAGTGCTTTGTAAAACTCGTGCATATATTGTGTGAATAGGTAAAATGCTCTTTTTGCCTGGAGCCATGGCCTAAAATGTTAGGAAGCCAATAAATGAGGCCCCTTGTTTTCCCAAATCGCTTTTTAACTTATGCCAGAAGAAAATATCCCTTCCAATCTGACTTTTCTGACTCTATCCCCTTTAAGTCATTTTAATCATGAAATTGTCTACATTTATTGAAAGTTATGAAAATATTAGAGATACTTATGCACAAATACATGTTAACCTGTATTTCCTCTCTGCCCTCCCCTCCTCTCCTTTCCTCTCCTCTTCTCTTCCCTCCTTCCTTGACTCCACACATCTCTCTCAAGGAACACAATGTTACAGATTTAGCTAAGGCTCCACTCTGTCCTTATTATAAATAAAGTAGGTATACATTGTCCCCAGATGGAATCACGTAATTTTACCACAGATTTATCCATTCATAATTCAGTTATGCACTGTTTCGGACATAGGAATCATTAGTTACTTCTTTCCCTTAGCTTAAGTTTTTGAGATGTATCCATTTGCCCTGTGAAAGATTGTTATGCTATTTTAAACAGGCAGTATCACAATGAATATTTTCACACACATTCTCTGTGCACATGTGCTATGAGAATTTCTAGATATCTAGATACCTAGAAGTGGAATTCTTCCGCCTGAGTAGGTTATGGGCATGGTCAAGGCTCCTAGGTGTGAAAAAGTGATTATTACCAATTTACACTTGTGCCACAAAATACGATAGTTTTTTGTACCTATATCATTAACAGTATTTGAAGCTATTGGACTTATTTATAGTAACCATCTGTTGGATAATGGACTATTTACTTAATTTTAATTTTGCTCATTATTAGTGATGTTGACCATCTTTCTATGCGCAAAAGTGGTTTATCGGCCATTCCTGCTTCTTTCTCTGTATATTATGGGCTGCCTTCTTTTTTTGTGGGGAAGGCTAGTGGTGTTCTTTTTCTTTATGATTGGTAGAAATTCTTTATATATTGTGATTACTAATCTTACTTGTGAACATTATGAGCCCCTTCTCCAGTCTAGCATTTCTTTCAACTTCATGGTATGTTTCATTGCATAACTTTATTATCATTGTTGCTGTTACTTTAATGTAATCAAAATACCAATCTATTACTTTATATATTATAATTTATTTTTTCTTTGAAATAATTTCTCATTCTAACCATACAAATATAGCTTTTGCAATGTATGGCACATTTTTTTATAATTTTGATTCCCATGACATCTTTAATGCATATGAAATATATTTGTATGTCTGGAGTGATATGAGAATTTGTTTTAATGTTATATTTGAATAGTTTATTGTCTCAGCATTCTTTAGAAATTGTCAATCCCTCTGACATGGTTTCTAATGCTATATTTTAATTCATGTACCAAACTCCGATATGAATTTTGGGTCTTTAAAACTCCATTTTGTTTCTTTCCTCTGGCTTTTTATACATGCACAAATAGCACCTTACTTTAATTATATAGGTTTTAACAACTTAGAATCTGATGAACCATATCCCCCCTTCCTTTTCCTTAAGTATTTCTCATCTATTTTTAGGCTTTTCCCCTTATACTTGAAGTTTATAATCACTTTTTCAGGTTTTATGAGAAACTTTTGGGGTATTTTGATTGAAACTGAAATGATCTCTAGATTAATTAGATGATAATTCTCATGTTTATAATTTTGAGAGTTTTCTTCCAGGAAAATGGCCTAATTCTCCATTAACTTAGGGCTTTTGTCTTTCAATTTTTATATTTGATTAGCTTCATTCTTCATAACCTTATGGTTTTGACGCTATTATAAATGATGTGGTTAATTCCTTACACTTTATACATTTTGTAATTGCTTATTACTTGTGCACAGAATTGTGAGAGATTTTTGTATATTTTTCTTATTTTCTCTAAACTTGCAGAATTATTTTATTAATTATAACCAATTTATCCATACAATTTTATGGATTTCTGATTTAACAATCATAGTTTGTAAACAATAATTTGATATTTTCTTATTTGGAACTTTACATCTGTGATTTCTATGCCTTCTGTTAATGTGTTCACTAATTTGTCTATTACAATTCGAATAAGGGCAGAGATAGGGGGTATCTTCTCTTCTAACCCTGGTGTTAACAGAATTGTATCAATTTTTTCTGCCATTATGAGATGATTATATGATTTTTCTCTTTTAATTCAATAGGGTAAGTCACAGAAATATGCCTTCTAATATTGATTATTGCCTTATATGATTATATTCATTTTATTTCCAAAATACTCCGAATTTGGTTTGTTTATTAACTACCTAATACTGTGTAACAAATGACCATGAACATAATGGCTTTAAACAACATTGTTAATTATCTCATACTTTCCATTTCTATGGGTCAGTCCAGATATAAGTTGAGCCCTCTGGTCTAGGTCTTACCAGGCAGAAGTCAAGGTGTTAAGGCTATGACCTCAGCTTGGGCTTGGGGTTCTCTGTCAAGCTCCTTGGGCATTGTCAGAATTTTCATTTCTCTGTGATTATAAGAGTGATGTTTCACTTTTCCTCTACCTGTTGGCTGGAGCCAATGTTAGTTCTTTGAGACTTACTTACCCAAGACAGCCAGAGACTCACGGAAGACCTCACCTGATTAGATCAGGTCCACCTGGGATGATCTGCCTTTTGATTAACTCAAAGTAAGTCAATTAGGGACTTTAATTATATCTGCAAAATTCTGTTATCACCACCATGTGTTGTTACATAGCATGGGAATGGTAGCTCATCATATTTGCAGAATGCGTACACACTCATGGGGAGAGATTAAAAGAAGAGGAGAATCTTGTGGGCCATTTTTAAATGCTCACCACAGTTTCCTAACATTACTTAAGGATTTTCCTACCATGTTTGTGAGTGAGATTGGCATATCATTTTCCATTTTCTATGGACCTGGTCTTGTTGGAGTGTAAAATTAATCCTAATCATTATCATATTAGGGAGTATGGACACTTGTTTATTCTCTTGATATATGCTTTAATATATGCATTAAGATTTAAAATTTTCAAAGTATCACTCCAGCTGCAATTAACCACTTTCTCTTATTCCCCACCTGAGTCCATCTTCTAGCTCTCTGATATATTAGCTCCAAATTGGTAGGAATGATAGAGATATTATTCCAAAACTCCTAGTTCCCTCAGTCACTGCTTCTCTCAGTCTCCAATAAAGAAACATAATACATGTGTGGTAAAAGGTCAAGATCATGAGATGGGAAATTAGGAGACTAGATTTTAGTTTCAAATTCACCCCTGGTCACCATTATATCGGTGCTAATTAAATCACCTTCTAATTTCTGTTGGAAGACAACTCCCAATGACTATTTTCATGTTTCTGCATGCTGTGGGCCTTCTGAACAAAAAGGATTGGCAAATTTTGCTGAACAATGATTGAATGACTAATATGCATAGATGTTATGGGTAGGATATTGCTTCAGAGAAGGAAGACAATGGAAAATGAAGAGAAGTGGAGAAGAAAGAGAAAGAAAGGGAAGGACAAAAGAATATCCAGTTTCAGTCATCAGCACCAAGATGCCAAGGGGAAGGAGAAACATGGATATGGGTATTGAAGTCTTTCACACCCAAGATCCTGATTTTTTTAAAGCCTTCAAACATGATTCTCATTTGCTTTGCCTACCTGTCTCTTTTTCCTGAGATCACAAGTTATCAAAGTTCTGTCTAAGGAACTTACCCTATTAAACACTGTGAGAGACACACATTGCCTTCTTCCTTTAGTTATCTAACAAAACTCTGTCGTTTTATGATGAAAAGAAGTTTATTACTTACATTTTTCTACAAAGTCTTGTTTGACAATGAAACGTGGAGGAAAAAAATGGACTAATTTGAAGGTGTGAAGACATAGCAGGAAAAGAACTACTGATCAGAATTTTGGAGTTCGAGCAATGCGTAAACATTTCAACTAGTTTGGATTTCATGGTCCCCATCCACCACCACTTGATTCCTAGAAGAGAGGACATTTTTTTAAAATTCCCTATCTAATAGTATAGTGAGCCAAATCAAAAGTCTAATACTTAGAGAAGTTAGTTTGCATTTATCTTTCTCTATATTTTTTCTTCTGAACATCTTAGCCTAAATATATAGTTTTAGTCTGACATAAAGCTTATTTTGTTACTCAAGTTATTATATAGGATTGAGCTTTGTGGTTTGGTTTGCTAAACCTATGGTTGAAAACTAAACATTTCTGGAAAAAAATGGATAAGAATATCTTATATTTATTGAACATAGCCAAGAAATTTATTTTTAATAACTGAACCACAGATGGGATGCCATCTGTCAACATATGGCATTGGCTCTTAAAGCAATGTTTACATCTGGGGGATATGACGCTTTCTTTGAGAGAACAAGAGGCATTATTGGACTAAACATGAAGAAGAGTGATTTTAGATTCATGAATATTGTAAGTTTGCTAAGGATAGAATCAGAGTGTTTATATGCATACAGTTTTCATACACTTGGGTAGATAAAAAGAAAGAAAATCTGTCCATTGAAATTCTGTTATAATAATAGAAAATAATTGTAATTTTGAAATTGTTGGGTTTTTCCCCCCATGACAGGGAAAACTATTGATATGAAATGATAAGATCACCAAATGTATAAGTTTTTGTATATTCATTTTGACTCTAAAAGTTCCCTGTAAAGATACTAATATAGCATTTTAATTTATTAAAATCTCAAATATCAACTTTATTTTTTCCAAAAACATGTACAAAAGAATTAATCTTGTTCCTTAAGTTTCAATAACTTCAAAAATTTTATCTGATAAAATTTTGTCTGTTTTACTATATGTAAATATTCTTATTTTTAATCACCTTTGCATTTTGAAACATAATTGGAATGTGCTTTTGTTAGTTTTTATTAGAAAATCACTGAACATATATTTTTTAATTTTTATTTATTTTTTTTTGAGAGAGAGAGACAGAGACAGCACGAGCAGGGAAAGGGAAGAGACAGAAAGACACACACAGAATCTGAAGCAGGCTCCAGGCCCTAAGCTGTCAGCACAGAGCCTGACGCAGGGCTCAAACCCACGAACCGTGAGATCATGACCTGAGCCTAAGTCAGATGCTTAACTGCCTGAGCCACCCAGGTGCCCCAAACATATTTTTTAAATTACCATCCCACAGATTTTCTCTTTACTTCCACCTAACATAAGGAAAATTTGGTATCTATTATATTTACAAATTATTGAAATTGTAAAACTCCAGTAAAAAGAGATTATGAACAAATATTCAATAATAACGATAACAACAATAATATTGACAACTACGCTTTCAGAGCATTCTTTATGTAGCAGACTATGGGACTTACAAAGCATTCTCTTAAATCCTGAAAAGAACACCTCCCCCAATTATAACTTTCCCCTAGTTACAGTTGCAACGTGGGTTTAATGAAGTTAAATAACAGGTCAAACATCACAGAACCTGTACTCAGCAGCATCTGACCCATATTCTTTCTGCTGTACAGAGCTGAGTCCCCTGTATGGGAGAATTTCACAGGTAAGCAGACATTTAATATTTGATTGTTCAAAGGGGGGCAAGACCAGCTGCACTCGTTATTACAGTATAAATTGCAATCACAATGAAGTACCAATTTCTACTTACCAAGCTGAACGTTTATTTCTTTTTTTTTTTTAATGTTTTCATTTATTTTTGAGAGAGAGAGTGCTCACGCGTACACACACACACACACACACACATACACACACACACGGTGGGGAAGGGCAGAGGGAGAAGGAGGCAGAGATCTGAAGTGAGTTGTGCCCTGACAACAGGGCTCAGGCTCACAAACCTGAGATCAATGAGGAACCTGCAATCATGACCTGAGCCAAAGTCAGACATGTAACTGACTGAGCCACCCAGGCACCCCCAAGCCAAACTTTTAAAGTTTAATTATTGTCATCAGAAATTAGAGAAATGGTTATAATCAAATACTTCAGATGTGGTTGTATATGTATAATGTACTATGAAAATACCAATCAAGATCCCCAAAATGTTCAAGAATTTTGATCTTTTACTTTTGGTCTGAAGTTTTTAGTAATCTAGCATATTAAGGAAGCTAAATTGTTGGAAACTTTCTCTGCAGCAGAATGCATCTAAGAAGACAGAGGTGATAAGATAAATTATCTTCAGTAAAAAGATGGTCAAATCTTATTATATAATACATACTTAACAAGTTCCTTGTTGTAAGAAATATATTGATAAGATAATTATATAAATACAGCAATACAGAAGAGACATGATATCACAGGCTTCTGAATCGGTTCTTTTTTAGAAAATTTCCTTACTTATCTTCTGAAACTCAGTTTTCCCACTTATAAAATGGAGACAGTAATAGAAGAATCCCCATTGTATTGATGTGTATTAAATTATTTAATATATTTAATATGTTTAGATAATTACCTAGAACATAACTAATGCTCAGTAAATGGGATTTTTATTATGTAAAATTAATTATAGAAAAGAATAAAAAATATGATCAAAAGTATTACAGCAATTATATGAGCAAGGAGGCAGAAAGGAAAATTTTTATCTGTTCAGTAATTATTTTATGGTGAAGGTATTTTTTTTTAGACTTCCAGGGACATCTAAGATTACGATTAAAGTTTTTAAATTAGAAAAAAAAATCTACCCTAAAAAGCCACTCTGGAAAGAAAATATTTGGGGAAGAGGATTATAAATATCCAAAAGAGAAAAACTGAAGTGTGATTAATTTTTTTCAACATATTGTTTTTGATGACAGAATAAAATTTCCTTAATGAAAAAGACAAACAAAAATCTCTCTGCATTAACTGTATTGTTGGCACAAAGCACGAGGTACCATACATTCAGTTCTGTTTGAAAAGAAAAACCAAATGTAGATATCTGCTACCTTACATCATGATTTTTTAAATCCAAGAAAATAACTATCTCAAAATGGTGTTTGGGTTATGTATATGACTATGTGGGTACATAAGCACTTCTGTGGTCAGTGAGTTGAGATATCACTAAATTTACAATAATGCCAGAGATCTGGGAATTGCCAATAAAAGATTATTTTTCACCTATAAATTCAATCAACCCATACCACAGAAAAATCACAGGCACATTTTTGATACTAAGTTTCATTAAGACCTCTGAATAATTTCTCTGAATCAAGGGACACCAAAGTTTCACTGCTGTAGAGATTGGCCACATCAGAATCATATATGGGCATTAGTTAAAAATAGAGACTCTTTGATCACTTTTGCATGAGTCAGACAATGTATCCCAGGAATGCTTATGCTTAGCATAGATTCAAGGTGATTGTGATGTGTGAGGCACTCATTGGTCAGGTCAAGTTTCTAGCTCTCAAAGGCTTTTTCTCTTTTTCCTCTGGGTTTCTGATGCAGAGGACAGAATCCATTCAAGCTAGTTTGAACAAAGGGAGATTTATCACTGGGTGTTGAATGACTTTCTTGGGAAGCAAGATAAAATAGATAAGAGGAACAACTCCCAACTTGACAACAAATCTAGAACAACATCCTGTTTCTGCCTCATCTAACATCAGGAGCTTCCAGAGAAGGAAGCTGCTAAATCAGGACAGTGACGTGACAGCTTCCAGTTCCCTAACCACGTCACCTCCACCAGTCACACAAGCAAGATGGACGCCCCGCCACCCACTTTTCTCTCCACTTGACCTTAGGTCTGTATTCAAATCTTACACAGTGGTGTTGGATTAATGGGCATACAGAAACTTGGTGAAAATGAGTCAGGAAATTTCAGGTTTTTAGCCTCTCCAGTCCAAGAGGAAAATGTAGAAAAAAGTTGGCAAAAAATAATGAGGTGGACAATTTATTACAATTGTGACAATAATCCAGGTTCTCTAGTCAAATCTAAATTTAATTGGTTGGAAACAAGATTATTCAGAAAATGATTAAACTTCATAGCATGAAGCTGTAGCATTGTCTCTCTCTCTCATTCTCTCTCTTTTTCTGATTGATACCCCCATTCCTGTGAAACATCAGATCATTTCCTGTGGACCTCCTAATAACATGTGTCACTTTCTACTATGTTCTATGGATATCAGTTCTTTTCCTTACCATTCCAGAAAAAAATCCATACATCCTTTACAGTCAGATTTAATTGTATATGCTCCAAATTCAGTGTAGTTCTTTGCAAGATAACGTGCTTATTCTCAAAAATCAGTTTCTCCAGAAGTGCATGTGATTTTCACATTCTTATTATTTATGCTGCTATGAGTTTGAAGAAATAAATGGACAAATGTTTCAACTTTGACTACTCTCAGTTGTTTTAAAGCATTATAGAATTATATTTTTATATAATTTAGAGATATTCAGATTTGATATGATATATGTGTGTGTCAGTCTACAGCCAAACATAACATTGCATGCCAAGTTCAGAAGAGTCAATTTCACAATAGACATTTGTTACTACTCTTTCCAGAATACATGTCTCTTTCTTCCAAAAGTAGCTGGTCTTAATTTTCCTCTTGAATCGGATTATGACCATGGACCATGCAAAAATTATAACTATTAATTTGCATGCACGTAATTTGCCCCACCAATCTCTCTACATTCTTAGTACTTGGAGAAACCTACTGCTGGATAAATCCAACTTTCTACCCATTCTGTACTTGTATTTTCCTAGTGGAAAGTGCCTGGAGGAAAACACGACTGTGCTGTTTGATGTATTGATGACCCACCAGGGCTCTCACAAACACCCAATGATACTGGTATATTTGCTGGGGCCAGTCATTGTCCCACTACCCAGCAACAATTTCGTACATTTTTTCTCTCCTGCAACCTTCAGCCTGTATTGCCACATCTTCATTTTCATTTACTATGTTTCCTACAGCAGTACGAATACCGAAGCTATAAGGATAAAACTTCCAGACCCCAACCACACATTCACCCACCTATCTGCATCTGTTCATTTATCCTACCTTGTCCTTTGAGCATGTTAT